GAAGACTGAATGAGCAGATGAATATGTATGAATGGATGGCTAAAGTAACTATACATATGGAGTCATTTTCATTCTCCCTCTATCTTTCTTGAGATGTTTACAAGGAAAAGAAATAGTGTGGTATCTTAATTATGATGGAAAGGGCATGTTCAGTGCCTTCAGACAAGGGCATTGCTCAGTTATTCTGCTGTTCTGAATAGCAAACCTTTTGTGGAAAGCAAAAGAGATGAAAGAAGCAGTGGGAAAATAAGTTACAAGTGGAAAGCAACATTGTTGGGACTCTCTGGAAAGTCCAGGCAAAAATGGCAAATAAAATGGCATAGTCCTAAATGCAGTGCAGAAAGACTGCTGTAATTGTCATGGTTTAACGATACTTCTCTAAGCTAGAGCAAATATAGCTAAAAGAGGAGTAGTTCCACTGTCTCTGAAAGAGGCAGTGGTCCACTTCTTCCTCAAGAAACCATAGTTGGATCCCTTAGATCAGGACAATTTTCATCCAGCCTCCAGCCTCCCCTTTTTGGGAAGGTTATAGTTTATAGAGAAGGTGGTTGGCTTGCAGGTCCAGAGGGTCCTGGAGGAAGTGGATTATCTGAACCCCTTCCAGCTTTGGTCACACTTATCGATGGCCTCTGCTGGGACTGGGATGAGCATCCATCCTGGCTCTCCTCGGTCTCTCTGCACCCTTTGATACCACTGACTGTGATATCCTTCTGGGCTGGCTTAGGCTATCAAGAGTTGGGTCCTTTACACTGTTCTCCATTGCTCAAGTTGGTGTTGGGGGGAGTGGTCTGGCCCGAGACCTCTGCTTTGCAGGGTGTCTCAGGACTCCAGTCTCTCCCTTCTCCTTTTTCATATCTTCATGAAACCATTGGGGAAGGTCATCTGTCAGCACAGGGTGTGGTATCACTGGTATGCTGATGATACTCAGTTGTACATCTCTGTCACCAGCCATCTAAGGGAAGCTCCAAGGTTCTATCCCAGAGTCTGGAAGCTGTGGGGATCTCAGTGGGGAAGAACAGGCTTCAGCTCAACCCTTCAAAGACTGGCTATGGGTTCTGGGACCCATGGAACTGGAGAGATTTCATCTTTGAATCTGGATGGGGTTGCACCATCTCGCTCAGATACCATGAGCAATCTAGGGATTCCCTGCACTCACAGCTCCTGCCTGAGGAGTAAGTAGCATCTGTGGCTCAGGGGGTTTTATACAGTTCCATCTTGTGACCAGTTGCCCCTGTTCCTGGATTGGGGGGCCCTGCTCATGGTCACTCACCCCTTAGTCACCTCCTGATTGGATTATTGCAATCTACTTATAGCTGTCTTTGAAGACCATTCAGAAGCTTCAAGTGGTCCAGAATGCGATGGCATGGGTAGTTACTGATGCCTCTCATTATGTTCACATAGCACCTCTACTCCGTGAGCTGCACTGGTTTCTAATAGGCTCCTGGGTGCAATTCAAGTTGCCTGTTATCACCATAAATATGGCACAGGAGCAGGTTATCTGCAAGAGTGCCTGCTCCTGAGAGTATCTGCCCACATCCAATAATTAGATGCACTGGGTCCCTTCATTGAGGTAACCCCATCTTATGCTGCAAGACTTGAATTAAGAGAAGAGGCAAAATTCTCGGTGGCAGTCCCTGCCATCCATCCATCCATCCATCCATCCATCCATCCATCCATCCATCCATCCATCCATCCATATATATTTATATGCCACCCATCACCCCCAGAGGGTGATTGTGAACAATCTTCTTTGGAACAATCTTCCCCAGACATATGTTGGCCCCAACCGTACAGACCTGTAGAAATTCAGTTAAGACTTCACTCTTCCACACACTTTGTAGTCAGGTGGAGCTGAGTCCCTAAGGAGTGTGTTGTAAAAACCATTTCAGTGAGTTGGCCAGGCTTGATTCCGAACTCCTTTCAGCTGCAGAAAGGAATTGCGATGTGTAACATCAGCCCCTGTGTTTGGCAAACACATTCATGGGTTGGCCAGACCATCTGATATATATTGTCAGGACCCCTGAAAGACCTATGCACATACACAATTAATTTAGTTTTCTACCTTGCCTAGTCAGTAGAGTAGCATTGTCAGCTTTGCAAGGGTTTTGAATCTGTATGCTTGTTTATTGGTATTTTGTGATCATCTGTAACAAATCTCTTTTCCCAGATTTTTATTGGTTTGGGCTTTTATTCTGAGTGTTATGGAGTAGAAATTGGTGGAGGTTTTTTTCTTTTTAACATCTCAGTCTGATTCCTTTGGAAAAGTTTTTAAAGTTTAATATTTCTCTTAAACCAATATTGCTTTTAAAAACGAAATCTTATATATGCGCCCCTTGTTACATAGAAACCATTAGCTGCAAGATGTGAAATGCCTGTGAACGATAAGTGTTTTAATTATTTATAAAAGAGAATCTTCACATAAATTTTTTGCTTTGGATGCCTCCAAGTCCAACATTTAGAATCTGTTAAAGAAAATGCGATCCATTGAAAATATTGAATGTTTACTTTTTATATAACATTTGGAATCCTTTTATGGCACAAGAAAATTTGTCTAAAATGG